GTCATCAGACCAGTACAATGATATATAGGGCTAAAATAACGTAAGAGTAAAATCGACCACTTGGTGCCAGTAACATAGATGGAAAATCGCAAAAGATGCTATTCCCGGCCATACAGCTTCCGTGGCCCGTGAAAACCGGGGATACTGTGGTCAACGGCATGAGGTCAAACTCCGTAACATGTAATTAACCCATTTCGATTTTCCGTCTATGTTACTTATACTAACTGGTCGATTCTACTTTCCTTTTTTATCCCTATGTTTGGTTGTACTGGTCTGATGATGAACCATTGAAATCAATTACTCACCAAACAATCTCCTTGTTCTCATTAAAATACGTAAACGTTATCAGAGCGCTGTACGCGCATACTGAGACAGAGTAAGGGCTTAGTACAAAACATCGCCGTCTTTTAATAACTCCAACGGTGTGAGACAAGATTGCTCACTGTCACTTTTCATCTTTATCTTCGCCGTCGACGAAGTCCTGGAAATGGCATTCACTGCACAGCACTTAGGTGTGGAGTTGCTTCCTGGTGAGCGACTTCTTGACTTGGAATATGTCGACATTGCCGTAATCTGTGACAGTTCCCGAACGTGCCAAGCATCATTGGACAGATTAGCACTGGTTGTCAGTCGTTTCCAGTTAGGCTTTGTGCTTTCGAAACGCGAATGCCTTCTCCAAGATTCGCAGGACCCGAATCCTTTGCTCACCCTTAGTGAGGATCAGCTAGAAGTCCTCGACATGTTCAGTTATCTAGGCAGCTATATGAGCATCAGCGGAATGGAAATAGCTCGAGGTGAATTTGCCAATCTCTGCCATCTGTGACGCAGACGCGACATCACTCTCGCAGAGTTTCCAACGCAGCCGTTCGTTCAACCAACATGTACGGTTGCGTAACCTGGCCCATCAAGTCGACACGCATAAAGAGGCTAGTCACGTTCGATCATCGATGCATAGCTCACGCTTAGCGGAAGCGCCACGTGAGCAGCAAGCATGTTCATCGCTGTGTATTTGGTGTAGTAAGAGCGAATGAACCACTCAACACCAGTATATCACACACCAGACTTCGATGACTGGGCCACCTGTTGCGCATACCAGCCCACCGACTGCCGCATCTTGCGTTGTTTGAACGCTGGGGTTGTAAATGGAAAGAAAGAAGGGGAGGCCTAGTGATGACTTGGTCAAGAGGAATGAAAGCCCTCACTTCGAAGTTGGCCTCAGTTAATGCCTGGCTGGAATCCGAAGGACGTTGAGCACGTTTGATTGGATACACTAGTTGACAGGACAAGGAGCCGGCCACAGTGGCGTTTTTGTTATGACCTTCGTTTTGCCCCCATCCTGCTTATCTTCCTCCTCCAACCACGATCTCCCTCTTGACGCATAATACATTACTAAGTAGTGCGTCGCCTGTTTTTGCACTCTATACTTTTTCAGGTCTTGTGTTTTTGTGTCCTCTCTTCATGCATTGCGGCCCAATAGTTGAAGCGTGTTTATCACATTCAGCTAATGTGCAATGATAATGATAATACCATGGCGACGCGGGTGATTCTGCTTGTGACGCTATCAATTGTCACCGCAGCGGTCCCTGGATAACTGAGAGGTCGGTGAACCTGTTGGAATCCGGAAGAAAACGTTCGGCCGGCTCTGAACACAATGTGAGCAGACGGACTATTACACGCGATCAAAGCGGAGGCTCTGTGTTAACGAAGAAGCCTCGTGGACCAGTATAGTCCAAGAAATAAAGGAGACTGGAGCAGTAGGCAGTTACCACAAACTCCTCCAGCTGGTCCTTACCGCTGATCCCAGAAAACCAGGTGTCAACCAGACAATCATAGAGAGCGCGGATGTCATTATTCACAATAAGATGCGCCGTATGGTTTGTTGGACGAAGCATTTTTGCGATCAGCTCTGCTGACCTCCTGCTTCCGGACCCCCTACTCAGGTGATGAAGGCTGAACCATGGCCGTTTAGTTTAGGAGCTCCATGGGGCGCTGTGGTCCGAAACGCGGTCGCAGCCTTTAATAGGTTTCGAGCTGCTGGCCCGAATTCCCTCCGCAAAGCTCTGACCTCACTGTTTGAATAGGTCTAGAAGGGAGAAGTAATCCCATCATACTGGAGTGAATCGAATATAGTGGCAGTATACAAGAGCAGTCGCACCGACTGTGCTAACCACATGGGTATTAGTCTCACACTAGTAGTGACAAAATTTCTAAATTCGCATTCGCCGCCTTACTGTGGAGTGGGAATCTTGGCTTGGGGAAGAACAGCAGTGGCATCAGCAGTGCGCCGGTACGCGGTACCGACGCTTCACTTCCGCGCAACAACCACCGGTCGCATGTGGGTTTAGGATACTGCGAGGGTCGCTGTGCTCCTACGAAGGCTCGAACCCGCGCCGTCAGTATACAAAACAAACTTGTTACCCCTATACTAGCAGCCAGCAGGTTTCCACCAAGGAGGAGGCTGTATAGACCATATATTCTCCCTGCCGCAGGGGCTAGAGCAGTGCCACACATACCCAAAACCGACAATAGCTGTGTTCCTCGACTCAGTGTTCGATTCAGTCGTTCAATGCATTCTGTTCGAAGCCCTTGCGTGGATAGTATTCCCATGAAATATTTGACCATTTTACATGCTCTATCGCCGAAGACCACAGACCACAACAGACACTATGGTGATCTGTCGGATATTTTCCAACAAATGTGATTTCTCAGAGATGCCTAATTTCCCAAATTTTGTTCGACTTCGTCGCGGATTGCATCCTAGAGTATTTCGTTGCGGAATCTTACGATGCAGGCGTGGAGGTGCTGCCTGGTGGAATGCTAGTTGCTCTTAATTATGCGGACGATTTTGTCTTACTGTTTGACGACGTCGGAGTGGCCCAGTAAACCCCGAATAGCCTCTATAGAGTGGTCCCATCATTCGGCTCACGCTTCGCACCTTCAAAGTGCTGTGTTGTTGCAGGGCCACCAACCATTTGACGACCACCTAGCCCTTGATAATGAGGACCTCGAAGCAGTTGATCACTTCACTTACGTTGTCAGCTGCACCATTAACGATGTGCGCATAGCAACCGAAGTCAGTTTATGTATCGCAAAAGCGAGAACTGTCTTCTTGAATTTGCGACATATCTGACACCACAAAAAAGAGTTTCCCTCGGTCTGAAACGCCGTATTTACAAGACCAAAGTTAGGGCCGTCTGTTACACATTTCGGGAATAAATGTAGTAGACCACGTTGGGCTAGAGTCCTGAAGTTGGACAACCGTACTGCGTCAGCCCATGATGCCGAAAACGAACGCTGCTTTAACCATGGCGGAGTGTTCAATATGGTGATCGATAGCGGTTAATCGATGGTGTTTGGGTCAGTTAGAATTGGACTAACCCTAACACCATCCTACTAAATGGTATTGAAACTTGGCCCTTTCGAGCTGAGGATCTGAGGCGTATTCAAGTCTTTGATCCCCACAGTCTGCAGAGAGTTGTTGATGTTAGGTAGCACATGCTTGTCCGCAACAATAATGTGTGTAGGCGAGTACTAGGTAGTGATAATCAAGCTAGTTTCTTATAACTAATGATAGCACTGAATAAGCTATGTTGGCTTGGGCACGTACTGGAAGCTCAGGTTGTTCAGATTGCGGGTGAACTGTTCGCTGAGCTTGGCAGTTTTGTCGCAAACGTTTGGTCACCAATCGAGGTGACATCATCAGTGTGTAGTGGAGTGGCGTGCGGTAGCGTAGAGGAGCCTCCGTGAGAGGCTACTGGACACCACTCCACTACGTAATGACGATGTCACCTCGATCGGTGACGAAACGTTTGCAACAAAATTGCCAAGCTCAGCGTACAATGCAACCGTCACATGTCCGGTTAGCGCTCATCGAAGAGCGCCGTGTTTCGTTTGCCAGATTCAGAGTGGCGGAAAGTCCGAGGTGGGCCAAACCTAACCTGGCAGAGAGAAATGAAATCACTCACTGCGAAACTTGGTGTCGTTGGTCCGTCTCGCCTTCCAGGTTAGAGTGCAAGTTACCCGAAAAGTATGTGTCCCGATGTCACAGGACATGGCTCACAATTGACACCAGTGGCGCGTCTGAAGTAGTCTCGTGGTTGGGTGGCCTGTTCGAGGCGTGTTTGATGCTGAGTTATCTGCGGGGTAATGGCTGATTATGACGCGGGGCAGTGAAAGCCGCAAGGAAGCTGTCTCGCCGATGCCGCCTTATCTTTGCACGATGGCCATCTGTTTGTGATTGTGTTGAAAATGTGTAGGCGCCTTGATCCTGAACGTTTGCTTAGGGCACTAAATTTTATGTTAGGTTCCTCTTTTCTCTGTATAATTATTCTACGTTCCAAACGTTACAGTGGTTGTATGGCAGCGAATCATCAATTCAACTGTTTGACGTACTGCTGTGTATGATGTTGATGACAGATGTAATAGTACGTAAATACCATCACGGTGGAAAGCGGTGGTTTCAATTGCATCGTTAGACACAACAATTACAACAGATGTGAATATTCAAAATAAGACGCAATGAGGCTTCAAAGTTGTGGTGTGCAAGTGTTGGGAGGAGAAACATCGAAACATTTCCATTCCGCAACGAGACTTCCTTACAAAAACTTCCAGGCAAAAAATCTAATCCATTAACAACACTCATACGCCTAAGAACCATTGTATCTGAAAGAAAAGGATGAGCATGAGAACAAACCGCTGAAGATTTCACAAGCAGAGTAAAAGAAAGCTCTCCTAAATACTGATCGATACATGTGACGCTTTCCCAAACAAACGAGCGCATAGCAGCAGCTAACGCATTGGGATATGGCAAAGAGTATGGGATAGAAACAATCACATAGGTATACTGAGCATGAGTCACTGCAAGCTGCCTTGTGGAGCGAAGTAGCAATCAGCCTAGTGTCATAGACAATTACAAGTACGTGATGCAAACAAATGAGTGAACAAAAATCTGTATAATGCACAATGGTGTACATTGTTGTGAATGATAGCAAGTCACTTACGGTAATTCACGTCCATGCTGCACGTCCTTGGGATGCAATGGTTCGGGAGCAGGTGCCACTTTATTCTGAACAGATTCTAGGGACTTGGTGTCGATTTTTGGAACATACGCCTTCAGGAACTCAGGTGGAAGGAGCCTTCCTCCAGCCCACCGACGACCAACAGCTAAGGTGATAGTTAAACATAACGTACCTATACCTGCATTGAGAAGAAGCGATCCGAAAAGTCTCCGCGACTCCATGGATTAGCTGAATCAAAATGGGAGGTCATCAATAAAAACACGTCCACAACAACCACCGACGTCAGCACCATGAAGTAAGTATTCTCCTAAAATGTCATCAGTAAACGTAACCTGCCGGGTTACCCGAATTAAACGAGAGATCATGAGTACCAGGGGGAAATTGGTATAAAGATAACCAACGCTGACAAAATATAATCAATTAATCGACCCAGACCACCTAGGGCTATCATCTATTCGTTGACCATCTAGCTGTGCTAAAAGCATGAGATGGTGGGAGGAGGAAACGTCTTAAAACGATGTGTCAATTTAAAAAGCAATGAGTTAACCGGAGTCTCATTTTGTAGGGCTTGCAGCGCTCTGCCATTTGCTTATATATATATATATATATATATATATATATATATATATATATATATATATATATATATATATATCAATGTGACGCTTGGCCAACAAACAATTGGCAGTGCCACAACACATGGGTAACATCAAAAACAGGAAGGGTTACGCAGGCTCGTGTGTTGTGTGCGCAAAGACCTTCCCGGTTGCCTAGCCCTAGGAAGAGGGTTGACTTAAGGGACTCCACCTGGAGTCTTTGGTCTCAAAGACCTGAGTTGCAAGGCAGCGGAGCGATTAACGCATGTGGCTGGAACCTCCAACCAGCCGCTGAACACGAAGACCGTTGAAAGCCAGGTGGCACGTAAGCCTTCGTAGTGTTCGGTAGCAGTCCACATAGAAGGCAGCGGTCAGCGAGACTGTTCATCCGCCCTCCGATAGGTACTCAGTTCTGGTTACAGAAATGAGTGATCAGTAACCCCATAGGCGGTTACACCGACTATGACACAGTGCCGCACAAGCTCTTGTCATTAATTCATGTTAGTTACTGGTGGTGAACACCTCAGCTATTGTGCCGCAAACTCTTGCGGTGTGTGATGGAGATCCAGGTAAACAACGCAGAACTCCCACGTTCTGATGGGTCCCTACTTCGGATAAACAGGTTTAACTTCACCTCACATCACGCCATGACGAAAGCAGAAAACGTGGCTGCACAGAAAAGATAGTTATTCGAGTAAAAGTTAAAAACAACTGCACACCAAGGGGAAACGCAGTAAAGGCGAGTCTTGGAGAGGCACAGAGATCACAACCGTTAAAGCGTTTGTACTGATGCAGTTTCCAAGGTAAAAGAACTTGTCTACCGATTCCAAAGGATAAACAGAAATGGTGGGAGAAGGAGCAGCTTCTAGCCAGCACCTGCAGGAAGACCTTACACTTCGATCGGGCGAAGGTCATTCCGAACTGGGACAGACACATTCAACCTACGCAGCACATTTTTGGCGACCTGCGAAAAATCACAAATTACAGTGATCATTTGCATACTCCAAGTCACGAAGTCGGTCCCCCGGAAGCAGCTCAACGCCACTGGGTTCGCAATTGTCCATAGCACTTTCCAGTATTAAACAAGAAAGGCAATATTGGGCAGCCTTGCCTCAAGCTAGTGGTGATACGGAAGGGGGCGAAAGTCCGCTGTACACCTACACTCTGCGTAAGAATCGAGAGTAAATGGCTCAAAGACTCCCCTTCTCAATGACGATTGCAGAGAGCAGCTCGGCCAACTGAGTCGAACGCGGCTGGTATACATCATATGGCTCTTGTGTCGTACGATCGCTGACCGGCCGAATGCCTAGCGACACTCGGTTCGAATGGGGGTACAAAGAAGGTCACAACAAAAACGCCACAGTGGTCGGCTCCTTGTCCTGTCAACTAGTGTATCCAACCAAACGTGTTCATAGTCCTTCAGATTTCAGTCAGGCACTAACCGAGGACAACTTCGAAGTGAGTGCTTTCATTCCTCTTGACCAAGTCATCACTAGGCCTCCCCTCCTTTCTTTCCATTCACAACCCCAGCGTGCAAACAACGCAAGATTGGGGGGTCGGTGGGCTGGTATGCGCAACAGGTGGCCCAGTCATCGAAGTCTGGTGTGTGACATACTGGTGCCGAGCGGTTCATTCGCTCTTACTACACTAAATACACAAAGACGAACATGCTCGATGCTCACGTGGCGCTTCCACTATACATGAGCTATGCATCGATGATCGAACGTGACTAGCCTCTTTGTGCGTGTCGACTTGATGGGCCAGGTTACGCAACCGTACATGTTGGTTGAACGAACGGCTGCGTTGGAAACTCTGCGAGAGTGATGTCGCGTCTGCGTCACAGATGGCAGAGATTGGCAAAATCAACTCGAGCTATTTCTATACGGCTTGTGATCTCGTCTTCCATTCCGCTGATGCTCATATAGCTGCCTAGATAACTGAACATGTCGAGGACTTCTAGCTGACCCTCACCAAGGGTAAGCAAAGGATTGGGGCCCTGCGAATCGTGGAGAAGGCATTCGCGTTTCGAAAGCACAAAGCCTAACTGGAAACGACTGACAACCAGTGCTAATCTGTCCAATGATGCTTGGCACGTTCGGGAACTGTCACAGATTACGGCAATGTCGATATATTCCAAGTCAAGAAGTCGCTCACCAGGAAGCAACTCCACACCTAAGTGCTGTGCAGTGAATGCCATTTCCAGGACTTCGTCGACGGCGAAGATAAAGATGAAAAATGACAGTGAGCAATCTTGTCTCACACCGTTGAAGTTATTAAAAGACGGCGATGTTTGGTACTAAGCCCTTACTCTGTCTCAGTATGCGCGTACAGCGCTCTGATAACGTTTACGTATTTTAATGAGAACAAGGAGATCGTTTGGTGAATAATTGCTTCAATGATTCATCATCAGACCTGTACAACCAAACATAGGTATAAAAAAGGAAGTAAAATCGACCAGTTAGTATAAGTAACGTAGCCAGAAAATCGAAATGGGTTAATTACATGTTACGGAGTTTGACCCATCGCCATGAGGCTGGACCTTACCGTGGTGCGTTGGTTTGTGTGCCTCAGTGATCCATTGAGCTATACTGGATTGTGCAATTTTGCACCTTCAGAGTCACTCATGCCAGATTGGTCAATGGTTAAAGGCCAGACAAACTCATCCTGCTGGTCCTCCAGGTTGAGGGTTGGGATGAGGGTGGCTCCTTATTCCTTAAAACGGACTCTTTGTAGCCCAACGCCAAACCCGCTGCCTTGCGGACAGGTTTTTGAACCAAAGACTTTGGTTGAGAACCCTAATCGTTCTCCTGTCTAGGCCTGGGCAACCTGACAGTATCCTGCCCACGCAATACAATGAATCTTTCCTCAAAGAATTGCTTGATGCTCTGGCCACCGCAGAGGATAATCAACGGTGCCCTATCTGCTGCATCGGGCAGGGTAGATAGGGGTTTGGATGCTACTGCTCAAACCTTCCCGTCTTCTAATTGCCCACACTTGCGCTTTTTTCACCCTTATCGTCCCGTTCCAGCTTCACTTTTATCCCCCTGTTTTCAACCCCTCAATTCTCGGCCCTCCTCCACCTTGCTTCAATAGTCGCTTATCTTTTAGTTTCAACTCACATGCGAACGCGGAGCGTCATTCCTGCCCTGTCAACAGGCCCATGTCCAACCAAGCGACCCATTCCAGTTCATCGGCTTCCATTTGGAGCCCTCGATCCTCCTTCAGATTGGCATGCCACAACGTTCGCACACTGCTTCAGACCGGTCAACAGGCAGCACTTGCCCGAACATTAGAGACCCTCTCGATCGATATCTGCTGCTTATCAGAGACCCGCCTGCAAGACTCGAGCTCTGTACTCACACTGCGATCCCCTTCAGGTGACGCTAGCAGCACTTTCTCATTACGCCTGTCCGGTGACGATGCAGCTTCGAGCACCGGCAAAGCTGGTGTTGGTATTGCCCTGAGTCCCCGGGCTGAAGCTGCTCTGGTTGATTGGATTCCAATCAGTAGCCGGATGTGTGCGGTCCGATTGGCTGGCTCGTTCAAAACTTCGAAGTTGCATGGGACTAACAGGTGTCTATTCGCTATCGCTGCCTATGAACCGACAAACTGTGGCGATGACTCGGTAAAAGACGACTTCTATCGTCAACTGAACGAGCTCCTTCGCCACAGAAGAAGCTCGGACACTGTTGTTCTGGCTGGGGATCTGAACGCTCAAGTTGGAAAATTATCCACAGATGAGCTGCATCTGGGCGGCCAACATGGTGTAGGCTCCCGTAATGATAACGGTGAGCGGTTACTTCATTTGTGTGAGGATGCTCGCTTATTTCTTGCGAGCACTAATTTCCGACACAGCACCCGCCAGAGGGTGACTTGGCGCCCACCAGCCTCGAACCAGCCTTGGACGCAAATCGATCACATTGCGATAAGTTCCCGATGGAGAGGCTGCGTCCAGAACTGTCGCTCGATTTGGAGCACAAGTGTGGACACCGACCATGCACTTGTATGTGCTGACCTGCGGATGCGTTTTGGCGGACGCCCACGACGACGTTGTGAGCGCATTGACACCAGCCAACTGGCGAAGCCAGCTGTTCTGAATGCGTATCGAAGTACGGTCATGTGAGTTGAATAAGCGCTCACTGGATGCAATTGAAGGCCACTGGTCTCATATTCACCAGATCTTACTAGTAGCAGGAAAATCCTCATGTGGTATGTCTAATCACCAACATGGACATTGGGTCTCTTCACAGTCTGGAACTTACAGATGCTCGCCGGCATATTCCGGCTGGAAGCGAACACAATGAAACTCGCAAAGAGCTCCGGGCAAAACTCCGTGCTAGCCTGAAGAGAGACCGCGAATATTGGTGATCTCATCGTGCACCAGAGATGGAAATGGCCGCTGCCCTTGGTAACCATCGTAAGTTATTCCGTCTGATACAGAAAACGGGCAGCAGGAGACCTGGTGTTAGTGAAACTATACGTGACGAGAGTGGACAGCCTATCCACAACTTATCAAAACGCTTAGAGCGCTGGGCTGAGCACTTTGAAAGGCAATTTAATCGGTCGGAATGGTTAGATTTTCCGCTGGCCAGTGATCGCTGCGCTCCCTGGGCTGTCCTCTTGGATCCACCCT